CAACAGCGAAGAAAAAGAAGCATGTTCCATCTACCTCCTTCGGTTTGCAATCTCCCTCTAGCATCCCCCACTGATGGAGTTTAACCAACTGACAAATCAGAAACATGACTTATAGATACTCAGCCCAGTATCAAAAAGCAAAATATAGAACAATGGGTTTGAAGCCAAGAGATGATAGTTTAATAACCAGCCCAACCAATCTAGGACAAATCTTTACGTTTTTGAGACACAGTTTGTCAAATTAGAACACTAATGTCTACCACAAGATGTCTTGAGAATTAGACAAAACGTATAAAAAGCACCTCACATAGTGCTTGACAAATAAAATGCATTATTTCACAATTAATGATTTCCGATCCTGATTCATCCTCCCAAGTACATCTGCCATCCCCAGTGCCTTCCTTAAACAACTACTCTGTAGAACTCCATATGTGGCCTAATCTATTGCCAGAATATATCTCAACAGGAAAAATCTATTTATAAGGCCTCAACCAACAGGGAGCTCTTTTAAGTCAGGGACCATATTTGGCTCTTACATTTTCACTTCCACTCCTCTCTGTCAACCTGAAAATCTGGCAAAAAAAAAAAAAAAAAAAAAAAAAAAAATATATATATATATATATATATATATTTTATCATCATCTTCAAGGCCTCCATTTATATTTATATATATATATGTATGTATATGTATATATATGACCTACATACTTCCTTGTCCTTGCCACTATCAATCTAATAGGCCAGCTTTCCATTAAGACACTTCAAGAACAGTTCTAGAAAGATTTCAAACTTGATCCAACTTCCTTCACTCTAAAGAACAGTCTTCATTCAATACCTTGTGTCCTAAGAGGATCGCATGCCCAAAAATCAAACACAGGAACCCACTACCATTTTTCTGATGTTCTCAAATCAGCAGCAGCATTCCAGACAACAGAGACCTTAAGACTAGGAAGGAGAGCTATTGAAGGTAGAGCAGTATCTGATGCTTTATGGAACATTTTAGAGGCAAAATCCACCATATCCATGAATGTCCCATAGAAACCAACTCCCACATAAAAGCAAAATATAGCTCTTCTGCTATTTTGCCTGAAATCATAGGTTCTTAATAGTTCATTCCCTTCCTGATCCAAGGTTCATGTGGTTCTACCTTTATTAATTATAAGACCTTGGGAAATTTTCTTCAACCTCTAAGCCTCATTTAATTAAAATAGTATTCCTAACATTATCTCACAGGTTTGTTGTAAGACTTAGATAAAACAATACATGCCCAAGCAAGACAGGAAACAGTACTTGTTTAGTGGGTACATAGTTTCAGTTCTGCAAGCTGAAAAGTTTTGGAAATCTCTTGCACAGCAATGTAAATATATGAACTATACATTTAAAATGGTTACGGTGGTAAATTTTATGTTCTGTGTTTTTTACCACAATTTTTAAAAACGTTTATTGAATTAATGTATGAATAAAAAGTTCCTATCAGATGCACAGGTGCGCACACACACACACACACACACAGAATACACATTCATCACTCATCACAATGCCTGGCACATCGTAAGCACTCAAGTATCTATAAGGTTCTGTCTCTTTCCCCTTTGAGCCTCCCAACATTCTCTTTGACTTCAACCTCACCTGCATGAATTTCTAATTTCTCTCCCTCTGAACACTATGTAGGCTTCATCACATTCTGTCCAGGGCTGTTCCTTAACAGTTCAGTGTGGGCATGCTTTATCTTGCCAAGTAGATTGTCAGCTCCTGCAGAGAAGGGACCATCTTATATTTCTTCCATATTCCCCTTCATGTCCAATGCAATCTTTGCATTAACTGTTGGCTGAGATTCTACTTCAAATGAGATGGACCTTCCCAGAGCCAGAACATTCCAGTTACCCCTGCCTGCTCTTGGGCTTCCACTCATCATCATCAATCAACATTTATTTATTGATCTGTTAGTTTATATTTGGAAAAGGGGATAAGAGCAAAGGATAGGGAAATAGGAAGAAAATAAAAAGATATATAAGACATGATTATTGTCCTCAAAAGGCTTACAATCTATTTGCACAAAGCAAACCTAACAATGTTGGTAAAACTGCAAGGAAAAATGCTAAATGTCCACTGAGTATTAACAGACGATACAGGAATTCAGCAAGCCATGGGTACTTCAAAGGAAATTCAACAGGAGATCAGTTTTAGAAAAACTTAAGTACGAGAGTATATATTCTTTAGAATTAAGATGATTCTTCAAGGGGTAAAAAGTGTATCTGCCTACTAACTCTAACTTTGAGATAAAATTATTACATATTTTCAGGGTAATAACAATAGTAACAACAATTTTCATATACTCCAGTAGACTACATACTATCACTAATCCTAAAAGTGAGGGGTGCATCATCCCTATTTATACATAAAGAAACAGTTACTTGCCTGTAGATGTAGAGATAGTAAGTACTGGATTTGAACACATCTGTCTGACTCCAAAGCATGAATTCTTCCCACTATACAATTCATTCATTCATCAAACATTTATTAAGAATTTACTCTGGACAAGCTTTATGCTAAAGACATTAAACTGAATAAAATATGATTTCTTCCTTCAAGGGGCTCATGGTCTGATGAGAAGGCAGTTACATAAAGATACCATCCATACAAAATGTGCTGAGTTTAAGAACAGAGATATGCAAGAAGTTATGGAGCATGTAGGAAGGAAACCTAATCCATCCTGGGAAATCTTGAAAGGTTTCCTGGAGGAGGAGAATTCTTTGTTAAGTCTTAAGGGATAAAATAAATAATAATAGCTTACATTTGTGTACTTACTAGGCAGAGACTATTATTAGCCCTAATTTACAGATGAGAAAATTGAGGCACAGAGAGGTGAGCAACTTGCCCAAGCTTCAGTAGTTTATAAATGGGTGTTAGAAACAGGTTATGTATCTGTTCTCTCTTAATCTCTACAGTATCCTGCACATGAGTAGGAGTTTGCCAGAAAAGTGAAGAAGAGCAAGGCAAAGGCAAGAAACTGCACTAAATGGCACAATATAAAAAGTATAATATGGCTGGAGCAAGAAATAACAAGAAAGGAAATTAGAGAATTATGGGTCAGATCACAAAAGACCTTGTGTAACATGTAAAGTATCTTAGAATTTATCCTATAAACTATGGAAGGATATTGAAGATTTGTACATTAATAAATTATTATGTCAGCTATTTGAAGGATGAATGTGAGTTAAGATTAATGGGAAGGGGATCCATTAGAAGACAGTTGTTACTGTTGTAAAAAAAAATAAAAAATAAAACATAATGTACATTTACCCTCCAAACAATTTTTAAATGTTCAGTACACCAAGAGGACAGATTTAATATGCAGCAAAGAGAAGAAGAGAACCTAAACTTGAATAGAGAGAGCAAGATGGAAAACTTGGAAATAAGACATGTCTAGATGGCAAAAGAGGTGGAACTTGGTGATGAACTGGATGTGCCTATCTCCCTACCCATCAGACTTTCCTATTTTAAATAATCTGTCCGGGAAAATAGAAAATATAAATGTATATGTTTGTCATTTTGGAATTGGCTAGACATAGTGCTAGGCACAGGAGCAATAGGAATGAATAAGACATGCTACCCATCCCAGAAAGGCCTACAGTCTGGAGTAGAAGTAGAGAAGGGCAGTGCAATAAAGGATTATGTGGTTATAAAAGAAATAGGTACATTTACTGGGGATTCAAAGCTGAAGTGGTTAGCCCTAACCAGGGGAGATCAGAGAAGAGTTGAAGGAGGATATGCCTCAAATTGAATCTGAACAGACACTTTCCAGTGGATCACTTGAGGTGAATATTTCTCCAGTGGAGAGTAGCAGGAAAACAGCAGAACAAATAGTTTCAGTGTGAAGAAGGTGGGGAGGGGGGGCAAGATAAATATGTGGACTCCTGAAGGCATCAAAAGTAGAGCAGGAATTTATTAGCTACAGGTTCCTCCATTAAAACACCTAAGCACAAGAAGGAAATTGGGGTCACAGAAGGATGAAGGTGGGAGACAAGATAGTGATCTGCAATAAAACTACAAGAAGCGCTCTGGTTTTACTGCGCTCTCTATGGCCACATCATCACATTCCACCTAGCCCCACCTGAGCTACAGAGTCAGTGCTCATTATGCTTAGAAAAGTGTATTAGTGTATTAGAAGTCTAATAATTCTACCCTAACCTCTAGCATTTCCTATAATTGTAGGATGTCATCTTGAGTTTCACAGTTAGGGGTCTGTACATCAGGCACTACCCACTGCTCTTCTAAAGGATTTTAAGTTACCTCATAATATCTTATGTTTGGAAGCTTCACTGCCTCAATCACAAGTATTGATCTTTGTGAGCAAAAGTAACTTTTTTTGACCAATGTGTTTATACAGACATTATTTTTTTTCCAAATTGTAATGCCTAATGCCTAAAGGACAATATTATTTATAAATACAAACTCTCAGACTTGAAAAAGAACACCTTTATTTATCCTGTTTATTATACAACATCTATGCAAAAACTTCTAAATTTAAGAATCTTCCTGGAAATTCAGGAATTTCCGAATTTCTACTGCTGTCCCTAACAATCAATTAAGAAAAAGGGAAATTCCGTTACTAAGACTGATCACAGACTTTCTAGATTATTAAATGTACTGTCTTCAATACAGCAGCATGGGCTATAAATCAAGTTCTTTGATTCTGAATAATCTCAAAATTCTTTATAAGAAGGCTTAAAAGTATTTTTCATTAAGAAAAATAAAATTTAGTGGAAAAAATATTTAATAAAGTCATTTTAATTATATGTACACATTAATCATGAAACTGTACAGAATAATTGCAGTGACATTTCTCTACTTATTGTAATTAAACGTGTAGTAAAAATAGAGCATAAACAGATAAAATATGCAAGTCAGTATTATTTGTGGTAGTATTAAGATTATTTAGTAAAGATTGTATCTCCCAGGATAAAATAATAGGTTCTCATTATATGAAGACAACTTACTTGGAATGGGGAACCAAAAACTCTTCTCTCTCACCATCAACCATGCCACGTCCAAACCCCACATCCAGAAGTATCAAAATCTCTGATCACATACCAGACTGGAGAGAGAACTTTCACATATTCAATACCTGCAGTAAAATAAACTGGGGTTATGACATCAGAAGACATTGGGCTAAGAGCTAAAGTAAATCCTGCCTTTTCAAACATAATAGCATGTTTATTCATCCCATTGTACCTCCCCAGTTGCCCAGACAGAAAGTGTCTGAAGTTTCAACTGGGAAATATGACTCACCTAAAACTTTTTGAGTAGCTTATGAGGGTTTAACAATGCTTGTGGATTGCTACCTGTGTCTTAGGTGTGGGGGTAGTGGTCAAGATGGAATGAGGCAAAAGAGCTTGATAAAATGGTTCTATAGCAGTTATATATTAAAATGATAATGTATGTATCATAAACCTTTACACAAACATTTTAGCATATGGTGCATATATTCCAAGTAATGAAAATGCAAAAGAAAAGGACCCTAGTACCATTCGACCAGCTTCAACACTGAAAAAAATACAAGTTAATGGAAGAGAAATTAATTATCTCATAAATGTTTCAAGAGTGAAAATACCGCTTTCTCCTCAACATAGAAAGAAGCAATTTCTGGTAACAAATTCTACCAGGTATTGTGGTAGTGCTATTTCTATTGCTTTTAAAAATGTATTTTTAATTGTCCTACAGATTTCCTTAAGCATACGAAAAGAAATCAGAGACTCCACTTGTCATAGAAAACCCTCAAAATAGGCAATACTGTTTCCATTGCTAAAAGGATTTGAAATATATACCAGCATACCTTACAAGTCAACTGTTCCCTACAATGTCTTCTCACTGAACTGAGGTGTTTTCACAAAGCAACAGGATTCAAAAGAAATAGAAGTAGGATGGCTTTTGCAGTAAAGCATAGCTACGGAGAAACTCCCTCTCTCTGTGTGTCATGCAGGCTGATTGCTACTTGTAGCAATGATAACACTAACATAATGGCTGCACCCATTTAATGTTATTTAAGTACCTCCAACTGACATGTTGGAATAAGGCTTTTTTTTTTCCTTGTAAATTCTAATTAGGTCCCTTTCCTTCTTTCCTTTCTCCATCATGCTCTTCCTTTCTCCATCTCTCCATCTTTTCTTCTGCCCAATAGTAAAAAATGGGTACTAGTAGGTCTACATGTACCTCAATCCCTACCTCACGCTACAGTAGAATACCAACAGATTATTACATAGAGTAAACTTGTCACCTCTCCACCCCATTTACCTCCAGCAAGAAAAAAATTCTATTTCTTATCTATCTCAGTGCCTACATCAAAAATTTAGGCAAGTCACCTTTGCTTGTCATCCTCGCACATCCAGTAACTTGCCAAAACCCAACATTCTTGCTAAAAGCCTCTCAAATCTGTTCACTCCCCACCATTTCCCTGTACCTGCAAAATCTAGGCCCCCACCATTTCTTCCTTGTCTCCTCAGTGGTCTTCATACCTCCATTATAGGCCCTTCCAACTGCTCTCCACACTGCAGCTAGATTAATCAATCTAAAATACAAATCTGGTGAAGATACTCATCTGCTTAAGTCACTTCAGTGGCTCCCCATGTTCTTAGCATAAAGTCATATGCTCACAATACGGTTTTTTTATTTTATTTTATTTTATTATGTTATGTTAGTCACCATACATCATTAGTTTTTGATGTAGTGATCCACGATCCATTGTTTTCGTACAACACCCTGTGCTCCATGCAGTACATGAGCTCCTTAATACCCATCACCAGGCTAACTCATCCCCCCATCCCCCTCCCCTCTAAAACCCTGTTTGTTTCTCAGAGTCCTTTTATAATGACGTCTCTGCTTATCTCTTAACCTCCCTTCTCATTACTGACTCTTACAAAAATTGCCTGTGTTTTAGCTATCATGAACCACAGACAAGTTCTGAGGCCTTTGCACCCCTTGCCCCTCTTACTAGAAAACCCTCTCTGCCTTTAACATGACTGATTCTTAATCAATTTAAAGGATTCATCTCAAATGTTAGTTCCTCCAGGACACTTTCTATCCTACCCGCTTGATGTTCCCACAGTGGGTGTTCACTTTTAGCTTCCCCCAAATGTCAGTATTTGTTGAAAAAAATGAAAAAATTCAAGTCATTTCATTGCACACCTGGTTTGACTGTAGCATGTGTGTATAAAGATCCAAGATAGCTAACAGTGAATGAAGTTCCTCAACTTTGCATCCCATATTCAAATGTTTAGACATACATAACACCCAGACCACTTTAACTCTAAACTATTCAAGGTTGACAAACACTCTGATATTATCAAATCCAAGTTCTATAAATATAAAAATACATGGTTTTCTAGAAAACCAAGGCTTGAATTTGCTAGGAGATCTCTCTAGTTTTAATATAAAAGTCAACCTTTATTGTTCCAGGATCATCCAGTGATACATAATTGTCTGAAAGCTGATCAACTGCTTCCTTCTCACAGTAGTTAGGAACTGCCCGGTTAACAGCGGCTAGAGAATCACCCAGCTCTAACAATGTTATCCAAATCTAAACAAGTGTGATAACTAGAAGCAAATTCAATCAAAAGAAACATTATCACTTTCTCAATGATTAACATGAAACCAGTTATCTAGCAAAAAAAGTTAGACCTTATTTTAGAACAGTTAGAAATTTTAGACCTCATTTGAGGTGACTCAAAACTTAGAAGTTCAAAACTTTAAAGCTTAATTCTGTGATAAGCCAGCTGGCATCAAGATAAACTATTTGTCCAATTTACAAGAATCTCTTGGATAAGAAATCTAAGATTCAACTCTCAAACACAATATCTAAGCTTTAGTTTTGAGTGTGATGGGTGGATAAGGGGGTAATGTGTGAATATTCTCTGCTTGCTCTCAAGGTTAATAGGCAACAAGTCTGGTAAGCACAGTTTCAACTAATCTTGCCAGGAGCAGAAGCCATAATCCACAAAGATTCACCTTCCCTGCCAAGCTGCTATTCTATATTCTATATGGTTGAGTGTATAATACTGTGCTACCTTATCAAGCACGGTTGGTACTGGATGCTCCACCCAGACTCCCTCCTGAGGGTTAAAGCATCCTTCCCCCAAGTGATAGACATATCGTCTTTTGACAGCTCACAATTATGTCCCTCACAAAGAAATGTCCTTGACCACAGGGAACTTTCTCACTTAAGATTAAGGCCCCTCCCAGGAGAGAGCCAACAGTCAATGGCCAATTCATACTCAGGAACAAAGTCTCTCATGCTTCAATTTGGAACAACTCTAAAGGGACATCCCAGCTCCAAAGCTCCCTACAAGCTCCACTGATGCCTCAGTTGCACTGCAGGTCAGCTTCTCCCTCTTTGCAGTCCTACTTTTCTCATTTCCTTACTTACTTCATTGCTAGAGACCACTTCTCAAAAAACCTCCTACATGCAACTCTTCATCTCAGAATCGATTTCCAAGGCAACCTAATCTAAGACTCAAGTCAATAATTGTGTAATGCAAAAAATAGCAACATACAATAAATTTGCTGACTTCATCATAACTTTGTCCTGGTCTTCTATTAAAGATGTGAACCTATTGGGACGCCTGGGTGGCTCAGTCAGTTAAGCGTCTGCCTTTGGCTCAGGTCATAATCCCAGGGTCCTGGGATCGAGTTCCGCATCGGGCTCCCTGCTTTTCCCTCTGCCTCTGCATTTCCCTCTCTCTCATGAATAAATAAAATCTTAAAAAAATAAAAAAAAGATGTGAACCTATTAATTGAGGCAAAGGCAAGATCTAGAACTTAATTTATCCCAGCTGACTCCAGTTCCCTTTTTTTAATTTAAATTTTAGTTAACATATAGCACAATATTGGTTTCTAGAGTAGAATTCAGTGATCACCTACATCACCTACATACAATATCCAGTGCTCATCACAACAGGTACCCTCTTTAATACCCATCACACATCTAGCCCATTCCCCACCCTCTTCCCTCCATCAACTCTCAGTTTATGCTCTATCATTAAGAGTCTCTTATGGTTTCCTTCTCTCCTTTTTTTCCTTTCCCCTCTTTCCATATGTTCACCTGTTTTCTTTCTTAAATTCCACACATGAGTGAAATTATATGGTATATTTCTTTCTCTGACTGACTTATTTAACTTAGCAGAATATACTCTAGCTCTCCATTCACATCTTTGCAAATGGCAAGATTTCATTCTTTTTGATGGCTGAAGAATACTCCATTGTGTGTGTGTGTGTGTATATATATATATACATACCACCTCTTCTTTATCCACTCATCAGTCAATAGACATTGGGGCTCTCTAAATAATTTGGCTATTGTTGATAATGCTGCTATAAACATAGGGGTGCATGTACCCCTTCGAATCTGTATTTTTGTATCTTTTGGATAAATACCTAGGAGTACAGTTGCTGGAGCATAGAGTAGGTCTATTTTTAACTTTTTGAGGAACCTCCATACTGTTCTCCAGAATGGCTGCACCAGTTTGCATTCCCACCAACAGGGCAAGAGGGTCCCCTTTTCTCTGCATCCTCACCAACACCTGTTATTTCTTGTGTTATTAATTTTAGCCATTCTGATGGGTATGAGGTGGTATTTCATCGTGGTTTTGATTTGTACTTCCCTGATGATGACTGATGTTGAGCATCTTTTCCTATGCCTGTTAGCCATCTGGATGTCTTCTTTGGAAAAGTGTCTATTCATGTATTCTGCCCATTTCTTATCCAGTTCCCTTTTAACTGCAACAAAATTTAGGAACTAACCCACTGGTATTAAAAATTACCTGATTTCTACCCTTTATCCTGAACGATTTTCAATGTTTGGCAAAAGTTGTTGGATAGTTTTATCATCACCCAATTCTAAGAGGGCTAATATTGTAGATAAAATTCTAATTGAAAGAGCACAAACAGAAAAGGAGAATAAAAATGATATGACCACAGCAGATCACTATGTTCTTAAAGATATGGGAAATGTATTTTGCTGGACTTATAAAGACTCAGGTCTTTTCTGATAAAAATAAAAAGAGTTAGAATAGCATTTACTTCTCAGTTCTCAATCTTCTAAAATCTCCTTTGGAAATGAATGAAAGGTTGCCA